ACACGCCAATCATCCCCCCCAATGAAAAATATTTTTCTACGCCACTGTATACAGTAATTCGGCACCAAATCCTGAATTTACGTGATTTCCAACATTTTTTTTATATGAAGAGAGTAGAATAGTAGGCCTATTTCAAATAAATCAATTATCAGTCATTATTAGACTTTTTAAAATATCAACAATTATTTTACACTATTTGCAAATAAATTTGTTTTATTGTATTAGCTATACAATTTTAATTGGTGTTTTTAGGTAAGAAAATATAATAATAGGCCTATTCCTTGTCTCTTATACACATCTGTAAGATCACATACTTTTTTTTCCGGCTCCTGAGTCTCAGCTGGGTCGGCACACACTGGGCAGGCCTCACTATTTGTCAATTAATCGTACCTATCATTGTATTTAAAATTAAAATTGAATTATTGTTGTAGATCCAATTACTGTATGTCCAACTTTGGTGCTTCAAATCCGTATTTCTGGTGGACTAAATGGCACACGTAATTGAACCTTGTCAAGTGTAATTTAAAAACGCCTCTTCGTTAGTAATGTCACACATATTTTTCCAGGCTGTCAGTCTGATAGCGTCGAAATACACTCTGCCGCCCTCTCAAACTTTAACAAAATTGAAGAGAGATAAGAGGGCTCCAAAAATTCATTCTTTTTTACCATGATGACGTCGTCAAAATAAAAAATAAAGGGACACTTCCCAAAGAGAATTGTCTCAGCTACAACATACTCACAGGTGGGAGAAGATCAATCAAGTATAAGCGAGATATGTTCAAACGAGTATAAAATAATGAAATAAAATTCATTTTTTTATTAATTAAAATGGCAATATGATGACGTCATAATGTCCGATCAGCCATAATGAACTATAAAATCATATCTAAAACTCATGTGCTTTCAGAGTATGTAATAAAAATTGGGGGTTACCTTTCATCCTAAGGAGCTATAACTGATTAAAAATAGGCATTATTTTAAGCATATATAATTGTTGACGCAAGCGTACGCGCACGTTAAGAAGCGCAAAAGGAAAATTAAGGAACATGACATTTAACCTTGACCTGAAGTTTATGCTCACTTAATATGAATCAGAAATGACGAATGGTTAAGATGCTCTACTTGGCCTCTTTTTGGCTACGACAGTTTAATAATTTGTCATTATCAATACTAATTATCATTAATGAAATAATATTCAGTCAGAGGGCTTATTTATGGTAATAATATGTATACTAAGCCTGAAGGTGGCGCTTTCCTACGCAGCCATCTTGGATGGTACACATACACAACTCTGCATTGCCCCGCCATCTTGTCAGCACTCTAGTTGTTTAATAGCTCTATGGTACACACACACACAGTTCTGCGTATTTCGAACATCGAATACATTGGGGTTAGCGCTCTAATATTCTTATTATATCGTCACGCATGACTGGTCACCTTGTAAACCTTACCATGTCTATTCCAGGCGAAGCCAAAATGATCGATGAAGCGACCGTGTGCGTAACTCGTAGCAATTTTAAGATATCGTGCGAACAAAAATGGAAGGAAAGGTAGAATAAGAAAAAGAAGATCTCTGAATAGGTGATCCGCTCGAGAAGCGGATCACCAATTATTGATTGATATTTATTAGACATATTTTCGATATTTTTTTTTTTTAGTTCAAGTAGGTTTGACAGTGGCGATTACTGGAGCTATTACACTTTGCATACTGTAAGTAATTGAAGATTCCTTAGGCTTACGCATAATTTAAAAATTTTGTCAGGATTTAGTCTTTAGATTTTCTTACCAGTAAGCCTAGATACTAATAAAGCAGTATAGTAAGCCTGTAAGTCTAAGATTTTACTGTTAAACAATAAGAAGCGAGTTAAATTATTCAATTAAAATACACAATTTGCATATTGTATTGTAAGAAATTGAATATGCCTTAGGCTTACGCATAATAATTTAATAATTTATAATTTAATAATTTTGTATGATTTTGTAGAAAAGCCAATGATTCCTCTTAAGTTTCACACACACACCTATATATATATATAATATATATAATATATATATATATATATCTGTATATATACTGTATATATATATATA